GATAGAATTCTATAAAATGTTCAATAAATTCGAATAACTAAAACTTGTCAATCAAGTACAAAATTCCTCATAAGCTATTCTTTTTGAAACCAGTGTTTGGTATTGTACAAAATATGATAAGAAAAGAAAAATATTAAGAAACATCACACTACATGATTAATATCTTAAAAACCATAGGAACCGTTTAATTTAAATAATTGGGATACCTACTGCATAAATGAAAAATACTGTAGTTATAATATATTTATAATATTATAAAAAGTTTGACCACAGRTGGTTTGAGCAAAGTACGGTTAGTGGCCTACACGGTTGCAACACGATCTGTGTTATCTATAATCGGGTGTCTTAATCTATCACAGAGCAAAAAAAAGGCATTTAGTGAGAATTCAAAAATCTGTTCAATTTGTTGGGAAACCAGTGTACCCATATATATGACAAATAATGTATTATTACTATTATTTATTTAATTTTTATTACCTATGTTTGCCACTACCGCTTTTTGAACATTACCTTGACTTTTGCGCTCGTTTTTGAGATTATTAGTTTAATTATTTTATTAAATAAGCAATTAAATCAAATTTACAGTGAATTGAGTAATTTGCTTTGATAATTGGAAAATATATCGGGTAGGCAGTATACATTTATTGACGTACTGCCCCAGTGTTGCTTGCTTTAAAATTAAAAGCATAAAGTTTCATAGATTTCCAAAGGATCTTACAAAGTAAGCAATATTAATTATTTGAATTTATACATCAAGATATATTATAGGCACATTTTTCAAATGCAACTTTTATTTAATATGTATCATATTTAATATTAATAAATATCATTATTTTAACTAAATATAGATGTGCAGTTTGGATTGAAAAATGTGATCCAATAAATTTGCCATCTGTTGATCTCAAAGTTCTACATACAAACTATTGAATTTGTTCATGAAATGTTGAAAATATAATGCATGTTAATTTAGAAAACTCGAGGCTCTCAAACCATGCAATACCAACATCGTTGAAAGGTAAGCATAAATATTCAATTGTGTACCTAAATTAGTCGACCGAGGGACGTTGACTCGGGCGAACGACTCGCAACACGAGGACACAAGACATTGACACTTTCTGAACTAAGGTATACCACCCCGTCGAGTAGCACCACTATGTTTGCGAAGGGCGAGATCGGTTTGAGCCGATACAGCAATGCAACAGCCACCCCAGCAACCAGAGATCCAGTAGCCAACTCTTACCCCCGAGGAGACCGGTCTATAGCTTGTGTTGGACAGTCGTGTACATAACGTTACGTTTCAATAAAAATTTTTTTTTTCCGTCAGGTGTCCGTTTGACCTAACCTGTATTATTACAATCGTCGACACACCTACAGGTATTTTTACGTTAATATTTAAATTAAATTCTACTAAGTATTTTTAAGTATTTTGTCACAGTTCGAACTTTAATTGCTTATTAAAAAAAAATTGTGACTATGTATTTTTTAACCCCCGTGTACCAACTAGATCCGCTTCCCAACAGGAAAAGCTACTGAAGTTGAAAATCAAAGCATTATTTCAACAATTTTTCGTGTACATAGACACAAATAAAAATATCAGAAATTGATAAAAAAAAACACAATCATTGTAAAAAGCAATCTATCATCGCTTCGCTCAGAAACTAAAATTAAAATTTATAGTATTACCCTGGCCAAAGTAATTTATTTTTACTAAACATTTTCAAATCTTAGATGTAAAAAGAAAAAAATTAATGAATTTCTATCTCAAAATGATTAGCGCAAAATAATTTTATATATACCTACAATGTATATAAAATGCTAATACTACTATCTATTGACTATCGATAACACTTCGATAACAGAAAACGATTGTCGATTTTAATCGTGTTTTGTACAATGTAGATTCATACACATAACCACCGGTAGCACTCGTCGTGTGACCGCGGGTTTGAAAAAAATTTCAACTTAAGAAGTATTATTTATCTATCTATCTACTTCTGAGCTGAACTCGCTGAGGGTGCAGTCGCATACCCTGCACCCCCCGTGTGCACGCCCATGTACACAACAGTACAACACTAATGATAATTTGCTAGGTACACACACACAGAAAAAAAAAAAAA